CGACCGGTGGAGTACGATCTGGGCCGTGCGACCAATTTGGAGCAGGTGCTGGGACCGCGTTGGCTTGCCGCCTTTTTCTGGCCCCTCATCAGCTCCCCGCCCACCTCGGACGGCCTGAGTTTTCCGGTCCGGATAAAGGCACAGGGTAGTGGTAGTAGTAGCATTCATATCTAGGAGTATTCCTGCCTGGTATTCATATGCTCATTTGGCGGTGTGCATTTAGCCACTCTCAACATCCTAATATACTACTTACTACTTGTTACATTCTGCTATACTTGGGTTCTTTCTGTTTCTTTTACAAAAGCAGGAGAAAAATCATTAGATTTTCTGTTGTTAGTAAAGAAATCAAGCGACAACTCTTTGTATTTCATCAATGTTGGGAATGCCTCCATTCCCACGATGAGGCAGCACACACACAGAGGGGGACCTCAGCTGCTCCACTGTCTGGCTAGCGATGTCTGCTCAATTCAGATTGGTCCATGTCCGATTGGACAGTGTCTCAACGCGACCATTAATATGCTCAATCTCTGTGTGTGCTGGTGACTTGCTTTGTGTAAAAACACGCTGCTCGTGCCCTCTTGATTCCCTCGTACGGGCCTTGGGTACAACAGCCGGACTATCTAGTTACAAGTACCAGCCGCGGACCATGGCAGTTACAAAATGAATCGCAGAGCAGCTTTTCATTCCGTTCGTGAGAAATGTTCGTGGAATGCCTTTTGGGTTTTGTTAAAAATGAGGAACTGGGTGGATTGTGCGTAACTTATTGCAAGTCGAAGAACACTGCACGCTGCCGAAAATGTGCTCCTTCGCGGTGAATTTGAACCTTGCTACTGGAGTCTACTTTGCTTTAAAGCTGAGCTCCTCGCCAAATTCGGTCAGTTGGCGCTCGTTGCGAACAAGCTTAAATTCTCCACTTCCTGAAGTTCTATCTCAAGACATATGTTATGCTTGACGGAAAAATTCAAGAGTAGATGAAGTGCACGCCCGTGGAATTTTAGCGAGTATGAATGAGTGACAATGCGAACCCAAGAATGAGTTGTCGCAAGCAATACACATAATTGCTAGAACCGTCATAATCACTACAAGAGGTCGGAGTGACCATCTCGCCTGGTAGTCGGAGTGTAGTGCCAAACACCAGCTCGGCCGCACTGCAATCCTAATCCGACTTCAATGCCGAGTGTGCTAGAGGCAGATTGTTAGCCCACTTGACTGAGTAATGTGCGGCACGCAGGGCGGTCTTTAGCTCGCAGTAAAGACGCTAAACCAAACCGTTGGCAGTCGAATGTTAAAATGTCGTCCACGATGAGTCAGCACACACAGAGGGGGACCTCAGCTACCGCACTGTCTGGCTAGCGATGTTTCCTCAATTCTGATTGGCCCACGTCCGATTGAACAGTGTCTCGACACGGACTGTTACTATGCGTAGCCTCTGTGTGACAATGACTTGCTCTAACCTGCTTTGTGTGGAGACATGCTGCTCGTGGCCGCTCGTGTCTTTATGCTTCTCTCACACGAGCCTTGGGTACAACAGGCGGGTTAGTTCGGAGTTCGTGCTGAGTACCAGGCGCGGGCCATAACAGTGACAAAATGAATCGAAGGGTAACATTTCATTCCGTTCGTGGGAAATAGTGGTCAAACACATTTTTGATGTTAAAGTGCGGAACTGGGTGGATTGTGCATAACGGATTGCACGTCGAAGAATACTGTACTGTACGAATGGGGTGCCTATTGGCGGTGAATTTCAACATAGTTAATTGAGTCAGCTCTTCACCAAATCCAGCCACCTGACGTTAGTTGCCAAAAACGTGCTGTTACGATCCGCGCCTGGTACTGGCAATTAGTACAAACTCTAAGCTAGTCCGGCTGTTGTTCCCAAGGCCCCCACGAGAGAACCTAAGAAGTCAATCGACCAGCAAGGCAAGCAAGCTACTTTTACAAAAAGACTGCGGGGCACTTATTCAGTCCACTCCATGAGCAGGCGTCAGCAGCGACGGAGGACCAATCAGCTAGGACGAAAAATCGA